CGAGACTAACTCATCTAAATTATAAAGGAAAACCGTGGTATTTTGTCGCGGTTACATCTCGTTTACGCACCGCGCTTTTAATTATCCATCGATTTCGTTTCAAGGATTAGATTAAATGACAAAGATTGTAAAATATCGTTTCGTTACGGACTAATAACTACTTCTTTACCGCAGATTATGCTTCCGATACTTGTGTTGCCTTTTATATCGCCAATTCAAAAGTGTTTTATCCATTTATCCTATTCTTCCGGACCGAAAATGCAAGTTGTTAGTTTGAATAATGTGTATGACAGAAAGTCACGCGATATTCGCGTGATACACGCGTGATACACGCGTTAATAATATTTCGTGCGTTTCGCGGTATTTCACATCGCGTACGGGAGTGTCCGAAATTTCGCGCGATCGATGATTTTTGCGAGTGAGTGTTGTGCGAGTGCCACAAGGAAATCTGAGAGGAGGAGGCGGCTTAGGCGGCATCGGGCAACGGCGTAGAAATGGTGAGGTAAGTGTCTTACATTTTTATTTATTTTCTACTTGTGCAAAATAAAGCATCTGTTCTGTGTTTTGTTTTATTTAGTCAAATGATTCGAACGAGAATTCGAATAAGTGTTAGAGACAAAACCATACGTATAAAATTTTGTCAGTTTATATTTAAAGGAAGACTTTTTCAGCATTCTATATAATTATTTTAATAAATGCCTATTTTTTTAAATATAAAATATAAAGTGTATTTGATACAATAATTTCAATTTTACACGATTAGTCTATAATCATATGCATATTTGTATTGTTACAGTTTAACATATATACCTAGTTGACGATGTACAACTGTGCTGTTGCGAGTCGTATCAGTGAGTGAAAAATTACTTTTTATTTGAAATTGACGTTGCGCATACAATATACTTCTCTTTGCATGTATACAAATTCTTAAAAATATACAATGCTGAACTACAAACTGCGCGCGCGAAACGCGTTTTGCCATTTCTAGTAAACTATAAAAGTGATATGAGGAAACAATATACATATTACAAACATAATTGTATCAATATTTTAAAATAATATTGCTACAGCATTACTAAAGTAATATTATAAAATAATGTCTCTGCAATATCTATGTACCATTACACTGCAAGATGCAACGTTGCAATCTTGCGATAAATTATTGCTGCAATGTTGCTGAAACCTTGCTGTGCTGTATGGGAATAACTTCGTTACTAGTAACGAGTTACTTCTCAATCCTGGAGATTAATTTAGTATTACTTCGATTTAATATTACACTTAAATTAATTTAATATTAAAAATTTAATATTATTCTAATTTAAGTATATTACGAGATCTAGGGTTGGAAAGTAACTCGTTCCTTGTAACGAGTTACTTCTTTTGGTAGCCCTAACTTAACTTCGTTACTTTCTCTCCGTACTGTAAATTAACTCAGTTACATTTTTTCAATAATTAGTAATTAATTAAATAGTTACATTAATCGTTACTTTATATATATTTTAAACCTCCACAGATCGCATTAGGTTTTGCATTTACGCATAAACGCCTTTATCGGCGCTTTGCAATTCAAATGCAGATATGATATTTTAATTTTCATTCGAAGAAAGTAACTGCAAAGTAACGATCTGTTACTTTGAGTATCTGTAACTGTAATGCGTTACTTTTTAGAATTGGTAACTTGTCACTGTAACTATAGTTACGTTTTTAGCAAAAAAAAACTGTAACTAGATACTTTTATAAAGTAACTTTCTCAACCTTGACGAGATCTCTTCTGCAATTGCAATAAAGACTTTGTCATCTAAGAAAATCGTACCCTGCCGCTCGTGCGATAACAAATCGGCCTAGCGTACGAGCGTTAGATTGATTATAGTACTTTAGAATTAATAAATGAGTGATCTCAGATTTCACAGAAGCAAGATAGCTTTCATGCGAGGCCGGGATACTTAAGAGCCGAGAAGCGCGACGCTGATTCTTCCGTCTATTTCGCTCGAAATTCTCCGTCAGGACGGCAATGACATTAATGTCACATGACGAAATGGGCAGGATGTGGTCAATTCAGATCGGTCTCCGTATGTGACTCACATTACACGCGCCTAGCTCGTCCCGGTGTGATAAAGGGAGTGGAGTGGACACTAATCGAACAGTCGCTGCGAGCCGCGCACACGCGTGCCATCGCGACTACTAAGGTCACATACACGTGGGCTGACCTTAGCCCCCAATTTGCCCATGCGATTCAGTTGAGGAAATCGTATTCGTGGCTTTTTGAATCGCGACGGATAGGTGAACTACATTTCGAGACCAAGTGGGGGGCAGATAACATCAACGTGATGCGCGGAGATGTTAAATTATCGTTTCCAATACTGATCCCATATTTAATTTACTACGGAAAATAGACTTAAAATAGATCGAAAGCAAAAGACATTAGATACCAATGAAACAAAATTAATTATTGAAGTAAATTAAAGTTTTAACTAAAAAAAGAGACGATATTGGCATAATATTAATAAGGACATGGGGACATGTCTTCAATAGGATTTGATACTAGGTATATGAAGATGAAGGTAAAGAATGTGGAACGTTTCATTGTTCAGAGAGAGAAATATAAATAATTAGACAGCTCTAATATAAAGTATCTATCATTCCCTAAAGAAATGATTACTTCAAGAAAATAAAAAATATTTAACAAATATATTCAACAAATTAAAAATATCACTTTTAGCTAACCTCAATCATTTATAAAGCGATATTTTTAATTTCTCTTCGTTTTTTTAATATAAAGTCGACTGTCCCTGGTTTGGTCTTTATGCGTACTTTAATCGTGTGGAAGAATTTTGCAATTTTATAAAGCCAGTTTCAAATTTAGTTAGAACTACGAATTGAAACTTGCAAATGCCAATATCTTTTTTATTAGATTTCTGAACTGAGTGTTTTAAATATCAAAATGTTCTGCTATGCGATCCGCAATTTATCCTGGTATTATTTTGTGCATAAAAGCCAATAAAAAGAATTACAAGCGCAAAAACTATATTTGACTGTGTCGGTAAAAAAGATGGCTGAAGGAGTTCGCCGATGGCTGAGGGACCCTTTTAATAAAAATAGTGGATTTCTTCTGTAGTACTGTATTTCCTTGATTTCATTTTATCTACTCATTAGGAAATAACAGTCATTTAATTATTTCAGCAGCTCTTGCTGATTATTATCCTACACAGTTGAAAAATTTGTGTTTTCTTGTTAAAAAACATGCTAGTTAAAATTTTTGTGTTAATTGATCTCAAATGTAAAATTATTAAAATAACTGAAAAGAAATGTTAAAACAACAATATGTACTTATTTTTTAATCTTACACAATACATATGTTCTATATTCATTTTGTCATTAAAAATGTGTTAATTTTACACAAAATTTATTTCAAATTATTTTGAGATTTGCATTTATTTTGTGTTAAAATATTAACAGAGTATTAGTGTGATTATTTAATATTTTTTATTTAATATTTAATATATCCATTTATTTATTATTTAATATATTCATATTACGTTAAATTAACACAAAAATTTATGTGGACCGTTTGGGACATGTCATATCTGTTAAATTTAACACAAATTGTTCAACTGCGTGCGTTATAAGTTTACTTCATAATGTAAGTAAAAAGTATTTTTGCTGCAGCAATAACTGATTTCAATACGCATGTGTACATATATGCAATTGTAATAAATTATTATAATATTTAACAAATATTATAATAGTCGATAATAAAATATGAAAAATGTACAAAAATCAAATCGAACGTTACAATATTCAATTAAAATAAATGATATATGTGTACATAACGTTCACTGTTCAATCCAAATTTTCGACAAGTCTAACCACGCAATGCACGCGTGAAAATGCGCCGAGTGTGCGACATTACTCACGCGCGTAAACCGAGGGTCCTGCGTAGGAGAAATACGTCACTGATTATAATACGTGTGTATTACCATACACAATGTCAACGTACCATCATTGACAAAACATGTACGCACCTGCGACCGCGACCTGCCACGTCATTAGAGGAACCGCATGTTACGTTATGGTGCATCCGCATAGGGTGTGCTTGGGAAACGGACAATTTTGTTGCTTTCAAGCGCGGTTGGAACGTCGATTGCCCGTACGTTGATTCAACGTGAGGCGTTGAATAATTTAAAAATCGGCAAAGGGATCATTGTCCGGGTCCCCATTGACAGTTTTCAAAGAGAACGCGGGCCATTCATACGCAGCATTGTCGTTTCTGTGCAATACAAATGTAAAATAAGTTACGTATAACTTAATATGTTATAATTTCGAATTGACAATTGCGTGTACGAACGTCCAGCCAGCCACCTCTGTACTTGTTTGTTATCCCTTGGAAAATAGAAAAATATCTGCAGAGATGGCTTGAAAGAGCAATATAGTAAATAACTATAACAAAATTTGTTCAAGATTATTATTTTCGAAATTTCGAGAGAACAGAAATTATTCGAAATCGATTGACGATACGATGAGAACGTAACGATAGGGTGTAATTCCGGATTTCTTTTAAAGGATCTGTCCTACAATTAGTTTTAAATGCGCGATAGTTCAAAGAGCATCCGTTGCCAGCCGCGAGAGACATCGCGACTATAATTATACTATAATATAAGCTTTGGAAAAGTGAACGCTTCACAATTGTATCACTTCGACATTGTTCTCGTAGCACTTTTAGCGATGTATACGCCGCAAGGCACTGTAGTCCCTCGTGCCTTTCTCCTACCAATTGCCAACTGACGGTGCTCAAGCCGCTGTTTCCTTAAATTCAAGTACAATTTCCAGCAACGCGAGTTGCCTAACTTCGAAGTCCCCGGCGCGTTCTCTTTCGCGCTCGCGATTCCTCAGCAACACCTAGGCCCGACAGAGAGATGGGTCCGAACCTGCGGTCAAGGAGGGGCAGCGCGAAGAGAGAAACAGGAGGGGAAGAGGAAACGAAAGAGAAGGAGGAAGGTCGCGGTGCGCTTGGTTGGGCGCGTTTAGTCAACCTGGTGGCGCCGAAGAAACAACTGTTAGGCGACGCGACTGCGAGTCGAGGAGTAACCTGCGGAGTTGGAATTGCGGAGTCAGTTCGTAATCGGCGCGTAGGGCGGGGGAGAGAGAGAGAGAGAGAGAGGGAGAGAGAGAGGGAGAGAGAGAGAAAGAAAGAGACAGAGAGAGGGGAGAAAGAGAGAGAGAGAAAGAAAGAAAGAGAGGAGCGTGAACCGGGCCCCGACCAGTTCGGCGAGTTCGGCAGTGCCCAAGTGTCTAGGCGGAGTGTTTTTCGAATTCGTGGGAGACTCGTGTGTTTCGCGGGTTATTCGCCGCGGCGGGTGCGCGCGTTTTGTGAATCGCAGGGCGGAATCCTCGTAACAGGTGGGGCGCAATGGTGGCCAAAGACCCGAAGATGGTCACCGCGATGGAGCTGATGAATCCATACGAGAAACCGCCGACCATGTCGGTCCGCCAGACCATGAGGACCTTTCTGTACAATCGCGAGACCGGCGCGTTTATGGGCAGGACCGCCAGTAGCTGGGGTAAGCGCGACGTTGCCAGCTTTAGAGGATTTTCTTTCCGCGCGTTCTCGAAGAAATTCTGCGACGGCGGCCGGAGAGGAGCCTACGGTGCGGTGTTGAGATCGTATCGATAGTAATATCGTTAAGCGCGCGGTATCGAACACGCCGCGACCGCGTATCGATATACCACGCCTGATTCCTCTCCCATCAGGTGTGGACACACCTAGGATTGTCTTCGGCGGCGTGACTCGATTCCCTAGAACGCCTCGATGTGTACTTTTGTACTCTCGCCGAGGAATAGCTCCGGCCGATCAGGCGTTTAGGGAAATTCCTAAGTTTCTCTTCCCGTTTTTCTTTCTCTTTTTTTTTCTTCACACGAAAATCGACCTCGCCGATCCGCGCGCCAATTATTTGATCGACTCCATTACACCATTGTCCGGGAAAGTGTCAACACCAATCGCACCGATACTTTCCATCTCGGCTGTGTCGCTTCAGCGACACTTGTATTGATATACGCGAGTCGAAAACAGAGCCTCGATCTTTTAATATATACCGTGTCGGAGTAGCGCAGGCATTTCTGCACGGAATAAAAGGGGACTGACGCCACGTGCAGGGCGTGTCAGAAGTCGCGCTTTCTTCAGAGACTTCCCAGCAAACTCGGAGTCGGGTAGAAGATGACTCTTTTAACGAATAATGGACCGCGCGCTAAATTTGTCTCTTTTTTTCCCTCCTCTTCATGTCACAACCAAGAATTAGAAAAATTGATTATGAATATATTAACAAAATGTGTATCATATCAATAAAATGTACTTTATTAATATATTTAACGCGAAAACTGATGGATGGCAATGGAGTAAGTTTGAAAAATGGAGTATAGAGATACGCGTGTAAGACGTGCGATAATTAGGCGAATTATAGATTTTAATTTGCAACTTCTCTAGCATTTGTATTTAAATAAAATAACGTGTGTTTAACGACCGAGGTTTTTTCACTCAATCGATTGACATGTTTGTATCTGCAATTTTTTCTACCTAGGATAATGTAATATTCACAGCGTCTTTTTTCATTTCGACACATTTGTTTAACGCTTCATCAATTTGCATTGTCTACAAATACATCTGCAAATTTAGCTCAATTCATCGCGATACTATCGAAATGGGTTATCGACTCTATGCTATACTTTCCAAAGAAATGCCACGTCATGCTTTTCGATGACTCTTTCCCTAAGTATGCAGACTTACTTTGTCGAGTCACATATACAGTCTGTGATAATTGAATAAACGAGAATATGTGGATGGAACATAAGTGGAACTGTCATTAGCGACGCATGATAATATTAAGTGTTGCAGTGGACAAAACAGGTTTTATGTCAAAAAAATGTTAAGTGCTACTCGCGTTTTTAGCATTTTTTAAAGACATTTACCATTACCGAAGGAATTAAACATAAAATTACGAATTTTGAAATATTTACAGTAGAGCTTCCATGGTAGACCAGAACTTTTAACTGGTAAAAGTTGATTCCGGACCGGAAACAGAGTGTCATACCTTCACTCGCACTTTAACAGCATATAATTGGAAAATAATTAAACATAATTAGAAAATCCGGTGGCGAGTGTGTGGCTCAGAGAAATGTACTCTGCTTAGTACACGAATGAATGAAAAGATCCGAGTTCAAACCTACGGACACCTTTTTTCGAAATTTCCCGAAGGGAAGTGGCAACCACCGAGAACATCCTGTTACGCAATAACCCTCTAGGGGGTTTAACCCTCCAGATAAAACCAAATGGTCAAAATACCAGAACGAACTGGATAAAACGGGCTTAATACTCGAGGAAGAAGAAGAAAATCCGGTTGAAAAGTATACTTTAAACTAACAATTAGTACTAGTAGACTGGTATGGAAAACATGATCCTAGAATAACTTTTTGAACAAACTCCAAAGTATTTTATATACAGATTGTATAAAGAGAATTTTTTAATTTTGAAAGAAACCAGATGGTATACAATCTTCTTATTAGTATATAAGGAACGACTGTCTGGAAGGTTAGCCAAGATCTCGTGTTTCGAGGACACCATGTAACAACTCGATGACGTAGAATTAATTATTACTTAATTACTAGACTTTTGAAAAAAAAGAACGAGATAACGTGTATACAGTCCTGTTAATTCACACACAAGGAACTTCTGCCCGGGAAGTTGTCCAAGATCTCGCGATCCGAGAATACTATACAATGACTCGATAATGAAATCAATTATATATAATTAATAGAATTAGTTATGTAAGATAACTTGTAGTAAACTGAAGTGCGATATATACTTTACGCTACTGAGATCTTGAAGTAACGTCTTGTTAGAGATTTTCATGTCAGTGAATTAAGACGCTTCGATAGACGAACACGGAGTAACACGATTGTGTCTGAAGATAGATTATTAATATATGGTAACTGGAGTTTATTACATTCTACACGTAACAATCTTTTAATTTATTTAAACAATGCTTGAGCCGGCAATATTCAGGCAGAATTTAATCGCGACATCAAAGGCGAACGGAAGACAAGACTGGATAAAACTACTTCGTTGAAGTTTATGAAATACGATACAAACTCCGTTATCAAACCGATGAAGAAGTGTAAAATCAATAAATATTACGACAGCCGCCCAAAGTACCATCATTTGCGTGTATTTTTTTTACTACTGCAGTGCGGTACTGCAATGCAGTAGTAAAAAAAATACACACAAATGATAGCAAATGATAGCAAAACATACAAGGAATAGAAAAATTGTCAAGCATGTCTATTATACCGATCGTGCACTATCTATTATCTATTAACGTGTACCGTCGTTGTTGCATGTGTCATTGCGGCATGTTAACGATTAATGCCAGTATTTTACTAGCCATTACTGCATGTTTGTTCTTAGCACGTGATAGTGTCAATGACCAAAGATATATGATGGTGTCTGCACTATCGCGTAATCGTGAATCTGTAACAAACTCGGACTTTTGATTGCATAAATATTAGCGTGAAAGCATTAATGAAGGATTATTGCGCGAAGTTATAGGGAAATTAACGCGCGCTTAAAAGTAAATTATGATAAAGAAGCAAGTGCAATTGCAATGGCGATCCTTGCACGTATTGGGAATACGCATATATTTGTATATCCTGTGCCAATAAATTTATCGACTTTACATTTATTTATCTCCTATGCTAATAAATTTATCACGCGCATGGCGAACCGACCATCGGAGATACTACCGCGAGACAACGTTATTGACTGCGTTCAGCGGAAAATGTTACATCGCAACACATTTCAATTCGCAAATTTGATGATCGGAGTACGCTCTTAGGTTCTGTCACAATTAAAAGCATACGCCAATCGGATTCAAGGTTTTTACAACAGTTTGCAAAGCAGCTCTTCCCGCTGAACGCGGCCATTGTTGGCTTCGAATCGCGAACGTCACAGTTTAAATATCTGGACACGATCCCTCCCGAGACGGAACGTCTAGAGAAGATAAAGGCATTCATGTTGTCGCGTGTACGAAGGAGTGACTGTTTGCGAGCTTCAATTAATTAGTCTATACCGGCGCCGCTGTCGATCACCGCCGAACGTGGTTACTGCCCTGACAGCCCCGTCTTTATGTGTCTCGGGGTGTGTTTTACGGCTGTCGCTATGGCGACTTGATGGTTATTACTCACCCGCGCCGTATAAAAGTACACTTCTTACAGTGTGGGAGCCCTTACAGTTTAACGGGGTATCCTCAAATATACAGGGTGTCTCATTTCAAATGATCCACGCAAATGTCTCTTCGGGGAAGCAAAAAATGACTTGAGCAAAAGTCGTTGGGTTTGCTCAGGTCATTTTTTTGCTGGCCCCCTTCCCCGAAGAGATATTTGCGTGGATCGTTAAAAATGAGACACCCTGTACAGTAGCTGCGATAAAGTATTTAAACTCGAAGAAATTAAATTGCTCGACTTGTCCATTTATTCAAGTCAATCTATCCCGATGAAATGGGCATTTAGGAACGAAATATGCAAAAAACACAAATTTATAAGTACAACATGCAAAAAAAAACGAAGAACACTAATACGTTCGGTACAAAATATCGGTTGAAGCTGCTTAATATCTAATCTGACACTCTAAAATTATTGACGTATACACCATTTCCTCTCGCAAAAATTGTATATGTCTTATTTATTTAATTTTCATGCACTTTTTAATAAACATGATAGAATGCCAATGATAATATAGATATGTCGTATCTATTTTCTTCTGTGATGACAACAAAGAGAAGACTTGCAGCGCACACGTCAACAGTGCGTGTTGATTCGCAAGAATTGTCTCGATTTAATTGGCTCAGAAGCCTGTATACGTTGCGGAGAAGTGACCAGGAATACTAAGCTTCGAAAAATATATCAAGATACATCCTTGAGGTATTAGTAACCTTGACACACGGTGAAAAAGAATTTTGTTTCTCGACACTTCGCTCTCACCCTCGAATCTCCCATTTAATATTTTTTATCTTAAAGCGAAACGCTGTGTGTAGTACTTTCCATTAGAAGAAACAAAATTAAGGAAGCTCCTTTTCTCTAAATTCCTCGAAACATTTTACATTTGAGATAGAATTCGGCACACCATCTCTCAATCAAATCTTTCACGCGGCTCCATATTAATGTCCGGAGCATTGCAAAGGGGGATAAGCGAGGAAGGTAAAGTGGAAGCGAAGCTAGAAAAAGACGGAAGCATGGAGCGTGTTTGATTCGCGGTGCATACAACGGTTTGCCCGGTTGAATGGCAATTGTTAAACTTCCTTTAGCGTAAACGTGTATAACGAGGTCAATTGGCGTTAAACGGCGGCATTACAGCATTACGTAACTTAGGGCCATTCCGAAGGGTACACCCACGCGGCTGTGCCGCTTCGTCTTTTGTACAGTTACAATCACCTGAGACCGTCCGAATCGTGGAAGCTGCAGTTACAGTTAAACTAGGAATCACCAAAGTTGACTTAGATCTTGGGTTTAAAAAACGAGTTCAAATGCACTTCTTTTGTTTCACGTGATTGCACAATTTTAGAGACTTTAGCGACCGTTACACTTGTCTCAGGAAGCTTCTTGTCTTCTGTGACCAATAACTCGCTCTTCTCTTCATGCCAATACAAAGAAACTTTAGATAATTACCTTACATTCTTCTTTTATAAAAGAAACGAGTACTTTTAGTAATTAAGAAAATAAATGATAATTTGTGATATAAGATCATATTGTTATATTGTAATTTTCTATTCTTTTACTCACTGATTGTGATTTGAGAAACCTGTGAGCTGATCCCATGCCGTCATTGTGAGGCTCGTATTGCATTGCGGTAATGTAAGCTAAATTACTGAATAAGATTTCGCTTATCGCGTTTCTGTAAACTCTGCGAATCAGCCGTAACGAGACAAAACAGAATCGTGGTTACACAACTGTTGTCGTAACGTGACGATTATAATGATCACGTATAATCTTAATCGTTCTTTCGTGAAGATAAAGAATAGAAAAAAAATCAACAAGTTAATTACTGTATTATGTAAATTAGGTTTTATTTTGCTGAACGTGATTGAGTTAGATTTTATTGCTTGATCAAAAGTATTAAATGTGGAAGGTTACAATCAATAGTCATTTAAAAAAGAATACAGCAGGGGAAAGTCCCGTATTATGAGGTAGGCTACTAATATAAGACAGCGGGGTTTCTGCTAAACCAACAGGCGCTATCAGTTGGTTTCACTATGCATTTATTGCCTTTAGAATGAAATCTATTTGGTAGAAAATTCATTGTTAGATCGTGCGTGTAGTCGTCGCAAAAAGATTTTTTTAATTGGACTACAAATCGTCAAGTTCCACTGAAGTAACTCTTCAAACCTTATCCATTATGTAGTAAATAAATATTTGGCAAGAAATTGTACATGCAGTGATCGAGTTTGATTGTATTAATAGGAAAATACGGGATATGTTGAATTGTTTAATTGTAGAGATTAGATTTGGTGACTGCAAAACCACAAGTCGTAATATGAGACATACAGGGTATTTCTAATGTGAAATAATTTATGCTCCAGTAAGCGTAGGTTATCTTATAGAATATTTAGCATGTTTATGAACGTCCTAAAAAGAAAAAGAAAATTTTTGCGCATTTATTATCTTTTTCGTACAGTGTGACCATAAAGAAGGATACATTTGGAGTATATCGGTATAAGTGGGTTTGTGATTATTGTAAAGAAGCTTCTCTCCATTACATTTGTATTTCAGAAACATTTAATAAGGTTTTCCAGTTGCAATGCTAATGTAGTTCGCACTTTATTAGCGATTTCCCGGAATATTTCATATTACGATTACACTTTCTCGATTTCTCATAAAGCTTCGAGGGAGAAACCGCTCAGGGCATAGTGGTGTACAGATTGCGGCATGATTGGGCACTACTAAGCGTTACTAGGCATTTTTTGGTCAGCGGTTTCCCCTCGTACAGCTCTTTGTTCACATGTTTCTAATTTTTAGGAAAATAATGATTTAATTAAATTTTACATTTTAACAACTTAAAATCTTATTAAATTTCCTTAAAAATGAGCTACTACATTTAAAAATTCTACCCATAGATTTCCGATAACTACATAAAATGGATTCAGTTTCTCACACTCGGGCACTTTTCTCTATTTCCAAGAAGTAAAGCACATAAAAGTAAAAATCAAATAGAGATGAAACACTACTTCGTAATATTTTATTTATTATATTTCTCATAGGAGAAGCATGGCAGTTCAAGCGACGAATTTTATCGTTGATGTTGAGTTTTTTAAGAATAGACAAAAATAGATAGTTTTAAATTGTTTGCTTTTTAAAGACATGGATACCTGATGCTTTTTTATTCATTTGAGCAGATGCGACACGTCTCTGTCATTTACTTTATCGAAGTCAGGAACTTAAATGGACTACCACTGCGGTTCTGATTTTTCATTCTTATCATTAGAAGACGATAAAAAAGAAAAGTTGCAGTTATAGTCTCCTTACAGTTTAAATGGTTAGAAAGAACGAATAATCGAGAAGTAATTTAAAAAAACTCGTTTCGTTATTTGATTTGATTTGTCGTTTATATTCTCTATTTGTAGTCTCGATGTGAAATAGACAAAGAAAAACAGAATAAATAATTATGAAGAATTGAACATCAAAGCACTTTCCTGGAAAATTATGGTTTTTAACTCTTATATCTTTCTTTTACAGCGAATCGATTTTTATACTTCTTTTTTATTCTCTTAAAAAATGGATATAATTGGCTTGATTTTAAAGAATTAGAATTTTGCCAAAAATTACATGGAATTAAAGTTCTAAAAAGAAACTGACTTTTCCAAACCATTATTTAAATTTGGAAAGAGCTTATTTAAAAAAAAACCATTGATCAAAATGCTACCAGTTATATGAGAAAAGGAATAGAAAAAGACGATTCAAATTTTTTGATACATTAATGAGAAAAAAAAACAAAAGATAGACAGTTTTGCCCTATAATTTCGTAATTGGCATACCCTTCCTTATGCAGTTGTGACTATAGTCTACTGATAAGATCCCGTGACGATGTCGAAGACAATTAACTTCTCGTTAGTAATGTCTAATGACGTCATGACGCGTCTAACAGGACTGAGAGATACTTGAAGACTATCTTCACTTCAGACTATAGTAAGCAATCTGCATCTCTTCCTATGATTTCTATAAAGTTAACAATAACGTCACAATTTTAATATAAATAGACGTTTAATATATAATACTTACTTTTTCAAAAATTCGACACCTTTTGGAGAAAACTTTATCCCAATTATATTAAAAATCTAAAAAAATAAAATTCCTCTCTCACAAACGTTCTCTTACATGAATATAATTTTATAATTTGTAGTTGATTTCATTATAATTGTATTTATAATTAGCACCCTGTATAGCTGCTACTAGTCATGATTAATAATTTTATGCGTATGATTTTTGTATGTCAAATGTATATTTAATAAATATACATATTGCACAAATATATAAGTATTGAAATTTCTAGGAAAGTAATATACTACGTTTAATACTGAATAATATTTCTTCATGTGTGCGTACCCCTTTATTCTCGGTAGCGTTATTTGATGAACGATGTCCACAAAACAACGTCGCGAGTCCCGTTAACGCATAATTGAATTGCACCATTTGACCAGTCGCGTTGATCTTTCTCTATGAATTGAATCCACGGTTAATACAATTAACCTACATTATAGGAAGTACACGCATATATCAGAATCAGCTTTCTCTACATGCGACTGCAAACTCTTCGCAAAGCACATTTGTGGTAAAATTTATTGTATGATCTGTGTGATGATTAATAATCACCACAGATGATTTGTTGAAAGAAAATGTATTTAACACTTGTATTTAGAAAAAAATGTATGTACACTTTAAAGTATTCGCATAGCATTTAGAATAATTGGAAGATTTTCGACGTTTCTTGCAAACAAATAAAGAGTTTTGTACGTTCGAAACGTACACTTTCGGATATCCTACCTTTTAATTATTTTATTCCATTTTTACAGGTAAAATTGGACTTTTTTATCTAATATTCTACGGCGTTCTGGCAGCGCTCGTTGCCATTTGTTTCTGGGCATTCTTTCAAACGCTCGATCCAAGGATACCGAGGTGGCAACTTGAGAGATCCATTATTGGAACAAATCCAGGTGAATTATTTTTAGTTAATAATAAATACTACATGTAAATGGCAATAAGATATTTTAATATTTAATAACTGTCGTGACTTTTTAAAAGTCGTTTGTAGAGATTATTTATTAGTTTTTATTGTTTAATATATCAAAAATCAAGATACGGGAAGATGTGGCAAACTTTTAAATAAACGACGCTGTTACGCTTTACAGGACTGGGATTCAGACCGATGCCGCCGGATGAGAATGTGGAAAGCACTTTGATTTGGTACAGAGGCACCGACAGCGAAAACTTCAAACACTGGGTTGATTCACTGCAAAAATTTTTAAAAGGTACAATCATCCGTAATAAAAAAGGAATCCACATGGCTCAGGATAGGACGTCGAGTCCTAAATGACTTCTAGTGTCACTTTATACCTGCATATTTCATTTACCTTATTCCTAATTAATTTCTCTAATTATAATTTTCAAATTGACAAACATAATTTGATCATTCGTAATATCTACAATATTTCGTGTAATATTAATTCCAGATTATATAACACCCGGATCTGTTCTTGGTCTTGGCGCTAACATTAACAAATGCGATTATAATCAGCCGCCGCCACCCGGAAAAGTTTGTGATGTTGATGTGAAAAATTGGCATCCTTGCACCAAGGAGAATAAATATAATTATCACAAGTCCGCTCCTTGCATTTTCCTTAAGTTGAACAAAGTACGTGCATCATAATGTAGAATTAATTCGATTATTTACAATAGCATGATATTTATTTGTAAACCTTATTTTTAATTTTATATAATTCTTTAAATACTTCCAATTGCTAATATCAACTTAAATCATTATACATTTAATGTAAATCAGTATATAACTTTCTTTATGTTATTTTTGTCTACTAGATTTATGGCTGGAGACCAGAGTTTTACAATGATACTAATAATTTACCGGAAAAGATGCCACACGATCTCAAAGAACACATTGTTAATCAAAAAGGAAACAACTCCTTGCAATTGAACACAATCTGGGTATCCTGTGAAGGTGAAAATCCTGCTGATCAGGAGAACATTGGACCAATTAACTATTTGCCACGACGCGGTTTTCCTGGTTACTTTTATCCTTATGAAAATTCCGAAGGATATTTGAGCCCTCTAGTTGCAGTGCACTTTGTTAGACCACGAAGTAAGTAATACAAAGTACAATATATGCTCACATATGTAGGGTGACAATCGGAAAATGCCGAAAGTAAAAAGTTATCATTTTGTAATGGGTCAACAGAATAAAATATTATCAATTTACTATACTGGAAGAAAACTATTATATGCCTTAGTGCATTGTATAAAAGAATTGCATTCCCGCTTTTCATATTAAGTAAATCCATTATTTCGAAATTTTCTCTAAAGCTTTGACTTCGAAATGACTATCACAAGTCATACGCTTTGCAATATGTACAAATCAAAATGACGAGTTTTTTTTGCAGAATAGCATTTAATTCTGTCCATTCACTCGTGAGATAACAATTATTCAATTTCAGCAGTTTCTCAATTATCACGATATTGATATAAAAAATAATATAGGGGGTAAGTCTATTATAAGATAGGCTTTTAATTTGAGATAGCACCTAATGTTTCTGCTAAATTAATAGACGTCATCTGTTGGTTCCATCATGAATTTATTCCCCTTGGAGTGAAATCTGTTTAGTGGAAAATTGATTGTTAAATCGTGTAATCGTTGCAAAAAAGTTTTGTAATTGAATTTAAACACTGAAAACCTCATGCTATCTAGTATTAGAATCCTATCTCATAATAGAGGACTTTCCTCTACATATAATAACGGAAGAATAGAACTATATTATTTATTTTTTATTTGCAGCTGGAATTCTGATAAATGTCGAGTGCAAAGCATGGGCAAAAAATATCAAGCACAGTCGCACCGACAAAATCGGCGCGGTCCATTTTGAGCTGATGATAGATTAACGACATCTAAAACTAGCCTTTGACTACCTATGCAAGTCTTTTAAAGTAAAACGAATGTCTCGTAGACATTTAAGGTAGCCATTAGGCAAATTTTCATCTTCCAAATAATAAAAATGTGAGCAAACATCTCTTCGAAGCCGACAACACGTTGCCGACTCTCTGGACGATATTACTCGAGTACAAAACAAAAAGAGTTTTTGCAATAGGTGTTCCCGAAAATTTTCAAGGATTATAAATGAAAATCGCGAATTTTAAGAGATTGCATATGTATGTGCTGAATGAAGATATATCGGCGAAGATAACGACTGAGAAAGGAGACGCTGATATCAAGAATTAGAGCGTTCATTGAGAGGTTTTCACTAAACACCTTTTACAGTATCTTTCACAAATCCGCTGTTTAAGATTTCATAACGCAGTAAACACCAACTAACGGTTATAATAACGTCAATATTATATAATCTCTTACTCAACAATGTAACAATTATGTGCAACATGTGTTACATTACATTTATAAGCGAGAAATTATAATATTGTTATTATGTAATTGTTAGTAAATGTTTACTGGGAATTTATTTATACAATATTTGTCTAAACAATCTCAAGAGAAGAAAGAATATTTTTAATGCGTAATTTTTACATGCATAAAAGACACTGTTTATTCTTCTTAAAACTTATAACTAAATGGCCGTGTTACATCTGCCGTGCACTCTGCATGTGTGTGTTGTGTGTGTGTGTGTGCGTGTGTGTGTGTTTAGTGTGTGTTGCCAATTAAATTAAGAATGAATTATCGCCAAAATTTTTAGAATGTAGTAGTTTTGTCATTCATAGTATTCGCACGAGATAATTATCTTCTTTGAGAAAGCTAATGTAAAAAACTGAGTGTTAGTTTTCCAAATATTTTGTATTGCTAATTTTGACTGTAACTTGTCGGCGATATATTATAGTGTATATATATTTTATGTAATGCCATTATTTTCGTTGATATCTACTGCGTATTTGCAGATTAAACAAAATTTTTGTCGTACATTGCTTTCGTGCAATTGAACAGGAACAAATGGAAGAATAATTGGTATAATCTGAAAGAATTTTATAATCGTTTACGCGTGCCTTTCTTTGCTCATAAGCGCGAATTTAAGTCGCCTTTTGTGCAATTGAACATTGAAAACGAATGAAAGAATGGAATAATGAAATCTCAAATAATTATACTCACGTACACGTGCCTTTTTTGCTCATAAACGTGGATGTAGCTCGCTTTTGTGCAAAATTGAAAACGAACGACAGAATAGAATAATCGAATCTCAAAGAATTCTAATCGTTTACACGTGCCTTTGTTTGCTCATAAGCGCAATTTATACATATATAAAAACCGACCGATATAATAGCATAAAAGACTCTCATTGGAATTATTTAATATACTCATATACATATACATATATGTGTAATATTAGCTGGATAGACTTTTTTATAATCAGGCGTGCAATTTGAAGACTTTTTAAACATTCAAATGACACTAGAAATTAATACGTCCTCAGGTAATATCATATTTTTTACCTTATTGGAATGCATCAGTAATTTTGTCAAGTAGAAATTAAGAATCGCGGAATAGATAGTAAGCGTATAAATATTTCTTATAAATAAAAAAAGAAATTTGAAACAGAAATGGCAAGTATTGTTAAGCATGATAATATTTAGGATATTTGATATCCGATCCATATCTGTAAATATTGAGAAATATTGAGAAATTTGGTAAAATGCTAAACAAATTAAAACAATTTTTAATGTAAATTAATAAATTGACACTATACGCATACGCCAATATTGCGTATAATAAAGAATAGATTTTACAATGATAGAATATTACAATAATATGAAAAGATTATGAACCAAAACAAAAAATATTGATATACCTTATTTTTTATTCTTATCTTTTTAAACGATATTTCATCTTGGAAATACTGATTATATATATTGTATGTTGTAAAAATTATTTTAGTAATAAGATAATTTTCTTTTCTTTTAAGGAAAAGAAGAAAGAGGGAGAGAGAGGTAGTGTTCATAGATTTGAGATATATAGTAATAATATGTAATGGCTTGTGATTCACAGGAAATGTGTTAAGCCAGCTTAATAACTCATGACTAATGACAGGATTAATTACAAAAGATATATGTTGGTTTACTTGATATGAAAATATGTTGACGTCAGTTTGTTTTTTTATCATGTAATTACGATTTATTTGATATTAAATGTATACATGTGGAAATATTTCTACGAAATGGCAGCTATTATAATAAGTTTTAGCTTTATCTCATAAATTATATAGCAGACATTATCCGAGCACAAGTTTTAGTTAACAAGGGAAAATCGAACATTTCTACTTTGTGGTTGATTACCTTGCTAAATACGCGGTTCGATTGTAATTACATTGCATAAACAAAATTAAGATACGTATATAATGTTATAAAAATTAATCGAAAAGTAATGTTCTCCAAATTGAAGAAATCATGTTTATTGCATAGCAGAAAATATCAGCAAACAATTAGAATCAGATGTTTTTGTCCTACGTTAATATAAATTTTGCCATAACGTAGATATGTTTTGTGATAAAATGCGGGATATTGATTACGCATTCTCATCGTTTTTATATTCTTATTTTTTAACCATCAGCTGCGGTACATAAAAATATCTTTTTTAAAATTTTCCGACAAATGAAATAGAAATAAACTACATTTCTACTAACACATGGAATTTAATATGTATCGATGCTAAAGAACTTGGCAGCAAAACAAGAGGGGAAAAAATGAAATTGAAAACAACGATTTTCTACATTATCAAGCAGATATCACATTAATGTAATTCTAGAATTCATGTAAAAAGGGTGCCCGTAATTAGAAAAGTATCGCCGACACGGAACAATATTGTACGTACCTAATATTCTTAATAGATTATTGCATTTAGAACTTAGGTAAATTTATTTAATATTGCAAATGTTTGAGAAATATATATCTGATAAGAACATATCACTTGCTCTTGTACAATTTACTTATACGATCTAACATACAGAATAGGTTAGGAGCCAAGGAGCGGGATAATAAATTAACACCATCATATAATCGCAACGAATAAATTAAGGATTACACAATGCTCGCCCTTATTTAAAAAGACGTTTGTCTTTGTACGTCAAATTATTTTTCCACCATTGTCATTTATTTAAAAATAATTATTATAGAACGTAACATTATTTCATTTTGTACAATTTGTTATTACACCTATACCTCAATAAGTACCAAAATAGGCTTTGCAAACATCACATCGATGATTCAAGCATACCTACATTTTGTTCAATTCTAAAACTGATACGTACAAGTAATTCAAGATACAAGGATAATAAGAGGTATATAGGATACTCCAAAAATAATTTAATTTGTATTTACAAAGTGATATTTTATCATAAATTAGTTACTTCTATTTTTGGATAATCAATTTCAATTTTTTAAATGTTATCTAAAGCAGTACATATCCAAAACATTTGACTTTTACATTTTTTTGGTTCCTTAGTTCTTTATGTTTGCCTACACCTTGATAAGTTCTTTGATATATGCTTGTATGTTCCTTGATATTAATAAAATTTATGTTTTATATGTGTTCTAAGAATTAAGACCGAATAAGATCTTTTTTACGTAAAAATCATAAAGCAGGTAAAAGAAAATTTATATTTATACTTGACTCCTTGTAATTGCAGCAGGCTTAAACGTGAGTATTATTTTGTGGCTTGTGATCTTTAAATTCTAATATTTGTTTTTACATTTTTTTAATATGTTTTGAGGCACTGTATGTAGATCTTTGAATATTAAAGAAAATTATTAAAGCCATGAAAACTTTCATCTATATTATCAAAAGAATAAGGAGTCTTTTTTCTTTTTTGAATCAAGTCTTGAAATAATCCTATTGAGATCATTAATAAAGCGGCATGAGAGACTGCATCTGGTTTCAGTAAAACTTTATTATTAATCTTAACGCAATTATTTCCGGCGAAGTTACATCGTTTTAAATATTATCTTTCTTCAAGGAGAAAAATTGATTCTTTAATTCTTTGGGTAATATAGTTTGTTCATGGAATATTTCTTTACATTCATAAATCTTCTCATTCTTACTATAGAATTATTAAATTTTAAGTTAGCTTTACTCTCTAGTTTTAATTCTTTAAACTTTTTAACTAGTTTTAACTCGATTTTTAAAACTAACAATAAGATATATGTGAAAAGTAATGGATACTTTAAAACACTGTATATAGTGACACTTTAAGATTTTTTAATTACCTAACTTCTTCCATTGTTTTGTTAGTAAATTTTTATTATAGAAAATTATATGTAAAACTGTGTGAATTTCAGACATTTTCGTTGATCGAAAGTCAGTCATGTTCTACATGTTATATTCTATATATCTCCCATTATTAGTATATTTTATGTAAGTACTTGTAAATCAACAAGAGACAACCTTTTGTCACAAAACAACAGAAAATCTATTAAGATTAAGAGTTCGAACTAGTGGCTCGATAAGCAACAATGCCGATTGGTTATTCATATGAATCTTTATAAAATAACAAATTCGTTAACCTACTAATTTTTTTCTAGGCACGAGTGATCGTCCGTCATCGTGATCGAACATCCGAACACGTAGTGCTCTCTAAAGTGTTCTTTCGTTTCGTGCTCTTGATCTCTTATTCGAACAATAAAACTATGAAATCGGGGGAGCGTCGAGGGCAGTAACGATCTCGACGATTGTAACGTACAATCATTCGTCGACCATCAATTCAAAGTGTACAGCACCTTTCTTTTCAGACCTGTACGAACTGTACTGGATATTCTTCGCCCATGCCCGGCACTCCACGTTGATGATTTGATTTCCTGCAAAAAAAAAGTTCAATGCAAAGTGCTCATAAGATGTGCATTTTTATTTTCTATAACAGGGACAAGTTTGGAATTTTTCACGTGGTTTAGTAATTGTAATCTTATTGTAATATTTTAAGTATAGCACGACGTTGAGTTTTATTTTTCTCGTCAAGTTTACGGCTAATGATTTTCGGATAAAGCACATAAAGTCTTATGACTTAACTCTATATTTCGTATTTTATCGTATTTTATAAGTTATATCTGCTAAATACGACTTAAATATTTATTATTGTAAATTTATTTTCGAATGTGCATAAAATGGCCTATTTTTAATATTCTTTAAACAATCCTTTAAATAAGAATCAATTGGATAATTTATTAAGTTATAGTAATATATAATATTTTTGTTTAATATTAAAGATTATAAATATAATTAAGTTAATCATCTAGATATAAGCGCACCGCGACGTAATCTGCATGTAAAGTGACACGTAAAATCTTTAATACTATCTGTAATATTATTTATTACACGATGTATTATTTTGGATATCTAAAAAAAGAACAAGATTTACAGAAGATTGTTAAAATAGGATAAGATTAAATCGCGAGTGTAGCTTTGAGTGAGCATACAGGCCGATGACACCTTTCGACAACCGATACGTGCTGCAACACACCGGCTTTTACCGGTTTCATCTGGAGTGCGTCATTTGCTTACCAGTCACATGAGCCAGTCAATGATGGCAGTTTCAATAAAAAAAATTGTGTATCTATACACGATACGTGTGTCAATTGTATAGTACGTTGAATATTGGAAAAGTCTATAATATGACAGTTTCCGATAGTTTTAACGTGCTTTAAGGCTCTTGAAAATATTTTAACGTTACAAAAAACGATAATAAAAGTTAGAAGTTGTTGCAGCCCTTTAAAATTATTCACAAACTTATTTTATAATATAATGTTTATTAAAGAATTAGAAGTTACCGCAATTTAAAACTTTTGGAACATTCTTGCATTTTTCATTGAAGGTGAACATTCTCATTTTTTTTATTTCTGTCATATCATATCATATATTTGATATTAGTATCAACTTACTTTTTGGTCGAAGAAAATGGACGGCGACGACGGGACTTAAGTATCCAGGAACATTTTCATATGGATAATAGAATCCTGGAAAGCCGTGTCCCTTAGGATAATAATTCAATTCGCCGATACTTTCTCGGTCATGAGGACTCTCCCCTTTGCAAGATACCCATACGGTATTTAGCTGCAATGTAAGAAAAATATGAACTGTATATTACATGGCGTACTGATATAATAATTCTAAAACTATATCACAGCCAGAAACCTTCAAAGTTATAATTATAAATAAAAGTTGAAATTTCCTGACTTCTAATTTTTTCGGCGATTCTTTAAATTTCAAATAGCGTATTTAAAATGTATATTTTTTAACGACACTTCTTAAAAAAAACTGTTACTGAATATACATATGTATGCTAGCATTAAAAAAAATTTTATTTCATTTTAAGCTAATACTTAATAATATTTTACATACTGGAGAAACTTTCCTATTATTTTTATACTAATTTATAACGTAATATCAATTTGTAACAACATTTTTTCGCATAAGTATCTGCTGTCATGCAAGATGTAAAATATTTGATACAAGCGTCGTTAAAATCGCATAATAACATTTATTTCATATAACAAAATTCGTAACGTCAGTAACGAAGGATCTTGATAATTTACAGCTATATTCGTAGCTCGAACGTATCTCACATATATGCACATATAGATTAAACATAAAGTGCACAATCGACATTGGTTTACAGTCCTTATCCTTGTTTGGTTGTTAAATAAACAGATAATACGTCTACTAAGAAGACTCATCAGTTACAAAGATAAAAATTTGAGTCCAAGAGTTGATACCATTTTATTGAATCTTCTGCCATACTTTTCTGTTCTATTACCAAGTTTAAAAAAGAATTTGCAAATAAAATCTTTCTTCATTTCTAAATGTGCGTCTCTGAACTTTTAAGTCTCTCAAATTTAGGGTCAAATTGACGTTACGAGAATTCACATATTGATGTATAAATATTATGAGTTGCGAATCTACATCCTGAATTTTCTTTCCGATCTTCGTTCAATCCAAATTTAATTTATCAACTAATATAATTGACTGACCGACTAACTAACCCATGAAGCGTCGACTGTCTTTATATATTCGACTAGGCTCTCTGGCATATCGTTCGGCAAAGACTGAGTGCTGTTATAGTACTCAGGAATCCATCCGTATATCTGAAAAGTAACGTATTAAAAAATTTTAAAAGGAACTTTAAGTCACATTATTATCACATTATTATCACATTATGCAAACAATGAAAAGTTAATACTGTCTCTATTAAATAAATTTGCATACCCCTTATGAAAAAATACACTCAATCATACGTTGACGGTCCGAAATAACCATCAAATTGAGTGTAAACCTGCATGAAACACTCGATTATGAAGGTTTACACTCAATTTGATGGTTATTTCGGACCGTCAACGTAAGATTGAGTGTATTTTTTCATAAGGAACGTAATGCTGCAATCAAATAAATGTAAGACAATCTTCCGTTGTGTACATGTGTATGTGTACACTAAGATGTTAACAATTTGGAATAACTTTTCTTACAGCATTTCTTTCTAATCTATTTGATGCTTTCATTAAATGCTTCCGATGCTTTAGCTTAATGTTTGAATTATTATATTTTATAAATAGAGTATGTTTTTTTTATGTTTAATGACTAAAGGTACACACAAATATTATAAGAAAAAGCAATATCTATAATTGTATAATATCTCAAGACATTGATTTTATTTAGATAAAATATTTTGAATAAGATATATGTCTTTATTAGATTACATTATTAACACTCTCTCGATTCACGACAATTAAAAAAAATATTTTTAGGAATGGATAAATAATAAATACGTTATATTTCAGTCTTATGCCGACAATCTTAAGAAAAATTTTATGTCTACGTTGCTGCCTTACCCTATTAAGTTTAATGAAAATGCAAGGTGATGAGTTGTTAAAACCGTATTGTTGATTTGGAGAACATGGTCCCCAATGGTTCACGTCGACCGCACATACGTTACCAGGCTTTGCCGGCATAGAGTAACTGCAGATCTGTTGGTTTCTACCGCCATTTGGCAAAAGTGATGAATTGATGTATTCTGTTCACATAATAGAGACACGATTGGATCAAGTTTAATTTATAATACAAAATAACGAAACAATTATTTTGAAGGATAAGAGACTTACAAAAAAAAATATTTTTGAATGTATTTATGGGAAAAATATCCCATCTATATCTATATTCCTATATTCCAAATTAATAACGTAATAGTATTTTACAAAAATAGAAGCGACATTCTGGAATTTTATTTATAGATTTAGATTTAACAAAAATTCGAAGAAAGTCGACAAAATATTAATCATATCACATTTCTATCTCTATGGAAAGTAGCTCTTTTGAAAGTACGTACATATACATATAAATATCTGTAATCTAATACTTAAACTATTATCTTCAGTTTAAAACATATATGTACGGTATTGCTGACACGCGGATCGGTGTTTCACGCATACGTGACACTCAGTGACAATGACACTCAAGTTAATAGCATTGCTATTGTTAACAATAAGTTGATGGATGCCTTATTACTCACGTTCCAAAAACTCATCCAAGCGCCGCGTCCATTTCCGTATTTCGGTCGCATTTGATGCGCTGTACCAAACAAGTGACCTCTCATCGGGATTCTCCGCAATCGGTCGGAATCCCAAGCCTGGCAGTTGCATTAACAAATAATCGAAAGATTTAAGCGAGTGAAATTAAATGACGTTATCATTACTTGTGGATATTACAAGTGATTACTTCTGTTAGATTCTATCGAGAACTCAGCAAACTTATGTGTAATAATATGTGCCTAAACATTTTGCAAGTTAATCATGATTCGATTACCGCTGATAGTCTATTAATATTTTTTATTAATTAATCTACGTGTTATTATATGAAATTAGTTTATTCGCTCTCGTATTTCAAATTCGTAAGATGTCAATTTGGTCATTATACGACTATTATGCTATTTGCTTTTTATAGAGTAATTATATAGTTGAGAGTATAATGAAAGAAAGTCGTTCAAGATATTTTTTGAGAATATATTTGTACGAAAACTGATATTAACAGTGAACAATAGTGCCAACTCGTTTTCTAACTTAGGAGGGAGCTTTTGTACTCGAAGTCTTACCTGGATTAGTACCTATGAGGCTGCTACTTAAGGTCCATTTAGGTTTATCGTCGTGCAACGTGGCGAGCATGCCTTTCATGCAAATGCTGAAAAGTATCGCCAGTCCGGCGTAGAAGCAAGCGTAGAAGATGAGAGTTATGCCTGAAAAGAAAAAAAAACGTGGGAGAAGATTTATTAATCTATCGTCTTCTATAAGTTTCCTTATTTCCGCACGTTGTAAGAATACTTCTAGTTATATGCTATGTTCTGTCACGCGAAAGAACATAATAAATTAAACGAGCAAAATGGATTGATGAACATAAAAATATCTTCCAACAGTCGCAGATTTAATAATTTCCTAACGCGAATCCAAAGAAAACGTGAAATTTGTTTTGGTCGCCAGTTCAACTCTTAATTCTGATTTTACAAGTTTGTAAAAAAAGAAAAGGAAGGGGAAATAAAACGAAGTCTTATCGTGCTATTTATATTTCATTGACGCATTTGAGCGCCGTTGCGTGATCCAAATATTCATCGCGAACAAGCTCCTCGAAAAACCATACGCGAATAGCTACTGCATGAGCCGTCCTCCCTCCCACATTTTCCTTTTTCCTCTGGACGGACCTAAACTCGCAGTTTGGCGTCACGACCTGTGTCGATCTATCTCGATCACTTATGCAACCGTGTAGATGCGAAAATTTTCATCATTTCGTTGATCGAACGGAAAATATTTAAAGCATAGGGCACCGTGCCAGCGCAGACTCTAAATATAGATCCTTTTTCAGAAGCAACGCGAGTCGCGATGAGCGGCCAACTGCCACTCTATACTGTTATTAACTTCGGAAAAAGTTGAAATATTCCTTGAAGATTAAAACCGCGAACACTTGGACATTTCAGCACTCGAATATCTTATATTTATTAAATGTCTCAATGCGCGCAGTGTCTTGGTTAGTTTGATTGACAGAAAGATATATCTAGAAAAAGGTTCCTCTAACTTTGTACGTACCATGAAATTGCCGAATATATTGTTTCATACATTGTCCTCTCAATGTATGAGCACAATAACAATCTTATTATCTTTATCAAAATTTCCAGTTGTCTGGTATAAAGACGGCTGAAGATTTATTCTTGACCAGACATTAGAAGGAGATTTACTCTCTAAAAGTTTTGGAGTAAATATTCACTCCAATAGGATGAATATTTCACTCCACGGCAGTATTTTCGCTCCAAGAACTTTAAAGAGTACATTTAAAGTAGCAGCCCGCGATAAAATTTTTTCCAAGTTTTAATTTAATCGCAATGCGGCCAGGAAAACTTATGAAAAAGCTGTAAGTGCTGTCGTTAAAGATTTGCAAACTTTTGTGGTCGAAATAAATGTGTAAAGCCATAAATGTCTTATTTGGAAAGAAGTAGAAACTTAACGACTACACTGAGAGAAAAATATAGTTATTTTTGACCATGTACATGGTTAGGTCAACCATAACTTACGTTGGAGGAATCATAAAAATATGGTTGAGGCCAAAAATAACTATATTTTTCTCTCAGTGTACTTTGACGTTTAGTAATTATTATTGTTCTTGTTTAACGATGATAAATAATTACTAAGATCATAAGAGCCATTTTACTGTGGGCATAAAAATTCTTTCGAGAGATCTTAGTGAGAAAAGAATGTTCCTAATTGGCGTTTAATCGCAGTGTACACGGCGTTAGTTATTATATCTGAAATTGAGGCGACTTTCAAGCAAGCGCTTATATCGAGCTACTCTCTTATCATATCTCCCGCGAGGTGTCGACGTTAAGCGCTTTAGCTTAGATTTCTCGAATCGTTCCTGATAACTTTTTCATCGCGTCATTATTTTCATCCGCATTACGAACAATCATGCAGCGCGAGACATTAGAGTGATAACAACTGCGCTACGTGCAAGTATGTACTTGAACGGCAGTTTTTCTTCTGTCGTAGCATAACGCACATGCCGCATATTTCAATTTTAATGTCTCGCTTTAACGGAAAAATTACTGAATATGTGTTGCACATTGCGCGATAACGAAAGTAATATATCGGCCCATCCTAAAACTAATGCGGTATAAAAGCGGGTCTGATCTGTTCTTTAACTCAATACGGAATGATTCTTTTATTGCCAATTGAAAAATTAAGATTAAGTTGTAAATAATAATGGAAGATATATTTTAGATAAAAATTTCAATGTCGAGCTTTTTGTCATTTCGAAAATGATCTCTGAGATAGCCACTATTTACGGGATAATTCAATACTTTGAATACCGGATCAAGTTTGAAACTAGTTTCGTTTTTGAAAGTAAGGTTTTACGCATATATTTTTAAGAATTTTTATGTACGTATGGTTTACACAGCTTCCTCTTTCAAGCTTATTGTTAGATCTAACTTAGAAGATATTTTACACAAGTCACTTATTTTTAGAAAGAACTGTGAGTTGCAGAAAATAAAATTGGAATAAAAATAAGTATTAACTTTCAAACATAACGAATGAATGGAGAGAGAAGAATTTTAAAGGAATTTAGACGACAGCGCGTGAAATATTCCGAAAGCCATGCTCTTTCCCTGCTAATCCCTGTCCTTCGGTTTTTCTCAACGGAATCTCGGTTCTATAAAACGGACCGGTTTCAGACGCGCGAGGAAAATATGGGCCTTCTATTTATCACTGTGCTGACACACTAGAACCACCGGCGGTACAATTACAGCATCAGATGTGTTTGCGCTGTCTGGCTTCGGAGTTGCCGTTTGGCAGATCGAAAGTGAGGGGGCCGTCAGTAAGATGGCGAACGCGGAATCGGCGAAACATATTTCGGAACAGCACATTTCGAGGCTGCGAGATAAGGCCTGCGAGCCACAGATGGGATTTACATAGTGCGGTACGATAATACGGCAGCACGTGATCGCTGGCGTTATCATCGCCCGGTTGTTGATCTACTGCGCGTAGTGCCTTCGGTCACGATGATTGCCGAGAACCAGGAAATCGTACGGCAGACATCGGTACGCCTTGAAAAGTCGCCTGATACCGAGATTTCGCTCAAGCTGAGCAAATAACATGATTTCTTTATTATTTCTCTAGCGACGTAAGGGAAGAATACCAAAGAGAGAGAGAAGATTCGGTGGAGTTCACGACGCTTCTACCGTCCGGTTGTGAAGACAGATAGTTTCGCGGAGCTTCGCAACTTCCACAAATGTATTGTATTTACGTAGCGAGCTTTATTGCGCCTGGGCTGCGCTTAAAAGACTTAAGCCGGACTGTGAAGCGACTTCAGTCGGGTTAACAGCGAGGCAATAACAAAGTCTGTAAATGAAAATCGGCAGTTTACATCATTCCGCTTGTTATTCCGCACTCGTTGGCGAAGTACGAACGCGGCGTTTCGCGGAAATACTTGCACGCGCTGATTCCGTCGACTTGGAAATATCCTTTTTACATTGTTTCACGCGAGACTCTCCTGGGTGATTTAAATGCCGTGCTGTAATTTGCAGCAAAATTCTAATGCGCCAAGTTCTTTCAACAGAGCGTCGCCCCCCCCGCCTGTTTTTTGGTCGAAAACTGCTCGGATGGTCTTGGTCACACGGGAATTTAGCGACACCGAAGCCGCGTGAGAATTGGTTTGACTGGAGTAAAAATTTACAAGCGGAATATCATGTATAGTTACACGTCCACGTGGCTGTAGCCGCGGAAACCTGGAGACGCAGCGACGCACTTGTTAATTTGTGACTCGTCGCATACGCGGTATGCAAATTTGTTGAGATCCTAATAAATCAAATATCCCAGCGAAGCGATAATTTGGCGTACGTCAGGCGTAGTTAGTTGAGACCAGCGTATAAATTATCATAATAAATATCTTACACCCGAAATACCACGCTTACACATGTCTGTTTCGTATTCAATACTTCCCATTTTCTATCGTAGTTTCCAGACGTTAGCCAATAGCTTTGTAATTATTGGGACACTGCAAAGTTTAGATATGGACAAGCGTTTCCTTGAGAAAGGATTCGTCCGTCGCGAAACACCTGTTGGACATCAGCTGTCGACCTCGTGCTGATCCACATTGCGTACGTATCCGTGAGGCGAAAGAGAATCGGACAGCTAGAAATGGAAAACGATTTTTCTGCATGCCTAACATGTGTGTGAGTGTGTGTGTATACACTTGCATCGAGACCCAGTCAATTCACAAACTGTTTGAGATGATAAAAAGTATTTCGTGTATAAAGAGGCACATTCCAATCATGTAAATAGAGCGAACGTAGGATGCCGTAGTTGCTGATAATGCGGCCGCGGTTACGTATTCAGTCGAACATAAGGAAACACGTGTATCTCTCATGAACACGCCGCCCGCGACTGGTTCCTGTGCAGGAGGAAAAAGACCGACGGCGATGACGTCAGGTTAGCGAAATAAAAAACGATATTCGTGATAACGCGTTCGAATTATCTCGCCGCGGGAATCTTATCGTTGGAAAACGGCATTTTCCTGGCGCTCGACATTGACGGTGCATACCGTCGCGTAACTTGCAATCAATAAATTGAATTATATACAAATATACATGAAATATGTACACACATATTTTTACATTGTACATTTCTATATAATTTTATACAATTCCACGCAGTTCTGTATAATTTTACGGATCTATACGTGTTTCTATATGAAAAATTGTTTAACGTGAAACATTGCTTATTTATAATTGTATATAATAAATAAGGAAGATGGCACAATCTCGTGGAAAAATATCTAAATCGGATTTTATTGTCGAGCACTTCTACACTTGTCAAACCATTTAATTAATAATTACATTTTTAATAGTTTTCATGTAATGGCTATTCAAATAATTTATGGCTATTATTGAATTTTTATTTTAATTCGTTTAGCTCTGTGCTCGAAACTCATATCGTGAAATATTCTAAGAAACCGTACGACTCGTTATGACAAAGTGCATTACGGTTGCGTTATTGAAACTTCGAATCGTATGTATTACCACAAAAAGTAAGATAGGAATAAGAAATATTGACCATTTGAAATCGCTCATAAAAGAAGGTTGTTTCGTTAAAAATAATCGATTCAAACCGTGAAATTAATTAAGCACGCACGCGTGTCGCGTTAATCAACGTCCTTGTCGTAACTTCGATTGCAACAAATGCAAGTAAACGGTCGAGCGATCGGAAAGCAAAAAAAAACGAATTGTAGAGGTCTTTCGACGATCGCTTTACGTACAAAACACGTTTGTGACAAGAGGAACGTTTCTCTGACCTAAAGCGCATCGCGTTTCACCGACCTCTACTGTACTCTATTGCGCAACATTGCCAAAGAATTCATGTTTGGAATCGACGTTACTATTCGAGAGCCAAAAGATCTCCGAGGCTGTAATTTACTCGAAATCAGCGCCGCATCGTTTATCCTTTTTCGGATGAAATCACCGAAGGATCATTGCGAAAATTATTGGAGGTACACGGAGAGAATTTTTTCCAAAAATTTATCCTGAAAATCATCTAATCGCGGGACAACGTGGCGTTTCGAAGAATTTTATGAGAGTTTTGTGAAAATTTACCATACATTTTACTAGTAATTATACTTAATATACATTTTATTAGTAGAATGTATGGTAAAACTTCAAAAAACTTTCATGTTGTACCACGATTACATAATTTTCGGGGTAAATTTTAAGAGAAAATTCTTTCTGTGTATTTATAATGCTATTGGGGGGGAGGTTCATCTCGTTATAATATGTGACGTTACTAATTACAATTAATAAACTAATATTTACTTATTTGGGCGCGCAGGACTGGTGGAAAAGCGGTATGTAAGTTTACATATCAAATTAAAATTATTGGACTACATCTTGCTCGGACCCTAAAATTTCGCGTTCTCGTTTCTTTGTGGCTCATCATAATGGCCCTGATCTAAGTCTGTTTGTTAATATTTACTTCATTAAAATAAAAATAAAATTTTGTAGGCACTATATAGATAAGCGAGATATCGCAAGACATTCTTCCGCGGAAGACTTTTATTGCTGAAGATGATGTCGAATTTTTTCGTATATTTATGAACGTTTTCTGGAGGGATGATCTAACTCATTAGCGTATCTTCGAAAGCAATTTACTCAGGAGCACCTGGATACGCCTTTGGATACATTATTTTTAGCAGTTGGCATGCACGCAATAACGTTTTCGCATTTGAAACGTCGCCCTAACGGGGGCACATTAATACAGCTTTACATTATTTCCATATTTTTCAGTATTGTTCGTTCCGCAATTAATTATCGTCTGTGCCGATGTAAAAAAAAATCGTAATGCAATTCTAATTAACTTTTTAAATTTGTATCTAATAATAGTAACGTTAACCAAATTCTATATCAAATGCCTCGACGAGTCTTTTTCCCAGCGAGTGTTCCAATTTAGGAGTTTCTTGCATGTGCAAGGAAATCAGGAAACTCGAGAAACGATTATAGCTAAGCCAGATTTCGGATAAACTCGAAGTCAGGTTATCACTGGGAGCAGGACTTCCCGAAGACACTATAAAAACGTATAAAAGACCGTGACGAATTCCTTGCGAGTCAAAGGGGACTTTCACAAATCGTTCCACGTCGTAAGTTATATATCTCTAACAAGAGCAACAGTCTTGCGAAATGCAATAAAGTTTTCTAGGAGTATTAAGAAGACAGTAGATTATAGAATCGCGAGAAATATGAATTCTAAGTGCATTTCGTGATGTTCTATGTAACCCACCGTGTAATACCATTAAAAAATACGCAAAAAAAATAGATAACGTCAAGAAAAATATTGTATCGGCCAAATAAAATTAACAGACACACGGAAACCAAATTTTCGCTGCCGTAACTGATCATGGTTTGCTAAAAAATATTTTGCTACCATAAATTTCTAAGCCACAGCGAACGGTTTGCTGTCGAATCTGATACGATAGGCACAGTAGCAAAATATTTAGCTATCGCAACTAGATATTAGCTGTCCATATTTTACAACTGAAATTTAGTTGCCACATGCAGTTTTGCATACGGCTACACTTCTCTTTCCGTGCACGACTGTGCTCTTAGCCAGTGTTCACCAAATATAATCTCGAAGATCGGGCTTCGCCGAAAACATTTTGCATCGTGTAAAGAAAGAAGAGAAACGTTTAGCGAGCGACAAATTTGTCAAGTGCCAATACGCATTCTACTCAGAACGCGATTAACACGATTCAGGTCTTAAGATTTGGATGAAAGGCGGCGCGCCGAGACGGCCGAGAGCCCCCTTCGCTGTGTTCGCTATGTGTTACCATCACCGATACTTATTTCCGGTGCTCTCTCGCGCCAGCCGCTGCCAAAACGCGAGGCTCAGGGTCGGCTGCTTCTAAGCAGCCGCCAAGAAGTCTACGTAAGAGTCGTCTTCTCAACACGTACATACGCGCGCACGCGTTAACGTTGGACGCATTTCATTAACTCTTTAATTAAATCGAACGAAAAATCAATCATACGCAACCAAGATTAAGTTGGTCGACTGAGGGAATTAATTTCGAAGTTTAGCGAAAATGGTCAATCATCGAGGAGTTATTTTTAATCGAAATATTATAAGAATACGAGGACTGATACTTTTCTATGCATCCAGATATCACATTCTTTTCTCTATGAAAAGGCTCTCTTGGAAAGGCGTAGTGATTGAAATAATATCTCGTAAACGATACGATAACGCTACGATATTTATCCATTTATAACTCATGTTACAATTTAATCTTTTCGTTCTTAAATTGCTCTCGAGTATCAAAAAGAATCTCAGGCTTATCAGAAATTTACGTGTAAAAACGATGTCGTCATAATAGTGTCAATTAAACAATTTAGTGAAAAATTTTTATAGCCATAGAAAATGCAATATTTCAATCATTTGTGAAAGGCAGGTATTTTTTATAAATTATTTAAATATGAAACTTATACGTACACATAAAAGTATGCGTTCATATTTATATCGATATTAAAAATATTGGGAGTTGAATATTTCGCCAAATGTTAAAAACAAGAGATAAAACTTTGAAAAAATAGTTTAATATCACGAAACATAAATGCATGCTTTTGTGTATATGATATTTTATGATAAATAATTTTACGATTAAGACTTTTCGTCGTACATTTTCATCACACATGCATTTAATGTTAACTGTAGAAAATATGATTTCTGTCGGATATTTCCTTCACTCTTTGTTTTCACATAATTAGCCAAGCAACAAACTTCAGTAGCAGCGGTGGAAGTACAGTTTATAGTTTAAAAATAGTTTATATACAATTGCAGTTTATAGTTTAAAAATAGTTTATATACAAATTGCTTCTGTGTACGAACACTGGTACGAATGTGCAGGCACTTTTTTTAATTATACGCATTGTCGACACAAAAATACTGTAAATGTTTCGTAAGCGATTTAAGAGACAGAATTTTTAACACGCGCACAATATGAAACAGAATGCGAAAAGTGAAAAAGAGCAGAGCGAGATTTCTGTATATCGACCACCCACGTGGGAGATAATGAAATTAAGAACGTCGATTTTATTTGAACCGAGCGTAATCACACAAACCAGCATTATGCCACAGAAAGTACCGTTGCATTCTTGATTGACTTGCCGCAGTTCTTGAGAAATATCGATCGTAAAACTTGACGAGGTTCGTAAGATCTGCTACGTAAAGGTGAAACGGCAACTCTCCTAATATAATGGCGGCAATAACGCCGATACGATTGCAGTCTTTCTTGTAATTAAACATTTCTTTTATCCACAAAAAATATTTCATATCCCTAGAAACGAAACTTGCGTTATCAATGTCTATTCAATTTCAATGTTAAATAATGTATTAGCCTTCCGCTTTTAAATTTAAATCGATGTTAATCAACGGAACGTTTTCGCTAGTGTTAAAATGCTTTCCTAAATTCGTTCGGAAAAAAATATTTAGAAGCTCTCGAATCTTTATACATTAGAATGCAAAGCAGCAAATGTCAATCAGACATAGTTTCATAAAAAAAAAACTATCGGGTAGAGTCGTTTTTAATTTTATACGTGAAATTATTACAATTTATATCCGCATAAAACGAAGTTCTATAATACCGCATTGAATTTGGAAAAAAAAAAACGTATTCGACAGAAACCTACGATGGAATCGTTTTACCCGTGCTTTAAATATTTCTTCGTCACACCTGTTATCGATGCGCTTATTTTAATCAATTTTAAATCCAGTTTTTAATATTTAAACAGCTTATAAACGTAGTATGCATGCCATTTAAATGGCTCGTGTTTCACAATACCGATCTCTTGTAGAACGCAAATATTGATCGAGATATGATAACAAAAAAGAGAAATTGCAGTGCCACGTGGAATATTTTTTGAAAATAGACAATTTTTCCACAAAATTCTAATGTTAACACCAGTACTAACATAGAACCTTCAAGTCCCTTCTTATCTACCCAATCGTGACTGGTGCCGATCAGTCCCGACAGTTTGAACGTCCAAGTGTTCGAACGCGACACTCGAAATGACTTACCCCATTTTTTCGGCGGATGACCGCAGACCGTCCCTTCCTGCGGATTGTAGATACCATCGCGAAGTATCTCCCAGCGCGTTCTAGTATCAGGTACTCGCATGTAATCGAACTCGTAGGTACCATTTTGCACTTGCTTGCCGGGCACACTCATCTCGGCCGAAACCCTAACGATTGCTCTTTGATCGGTCGATCGGCAGGTAGGCCGAGCTGTAGGCAGGTCGGTCTTGTCAACCTTCACGCGCCGAGCTGCTCACGCGGACTGATACGCGGAGATAGCGGGAAACGCGGCGTGACCGTACCGGTCTTCGCACTTTGCCTGAACTGGGAGAGCTCGCGCTTGTAGTTAGCGATACGTAGGTAGCGAGCATGCGGGCGAACGGGTGAAAAACGAGCGGCCGCCTCGTGGAGGGGCAAGACGGTCGCGCGAGCATGATCCGTCGCCGATCTTGGCCTCCGTCGAGTTTGGCGCGGCTTCGTTTTCGCTTCAATTTCAACAGAAGGTACGCACTCGTACACAGAGCGGATCGAAACAGCTCTCGGCGTTATCGGCATTTTGAATATCGTTCATTGCTTTTATTACAACTGGAGACTCTATTCTGTACTCGGCTACCGGCGGCTATCGATATATCGTTAACGACGTTTGCGCAACTTTTCTATCGTGTAAAAGAGCTCGTCGTTAACGATATCGATAGTTGTCGGTAACCGAGTACAGAGCCCCCGTTATGCGTCGTCTACAATGCATGGAGTGAGGAGTAGGAGTAAGGAATAATTTTACTTCTTACTCCTACTTCAGCTCTTACGCTTACTCTCGATGAATCGGTACGCCATTCGCTAGTTTACAAATATTTGAAAAAGGAGCAGGAGTAAGGGAATAAATTAATTTTATTTCTTGCGTCTACTTCAGCTCTTACGCTTACTCTCGGTGCATCGGAACGCCACATCGGCCAGTTTACAAATATTTTAAAAATTATGCCTGTATTTTGGTTTCCTTACACCAAAAGCTAAAAGTAAAGGCCATTCTACAATTGCATAAACGTGGTTGTTAGCGGTTGTACAGTGTTGTAAAAGACAGTTTTTAACTAGCATTTTATGGTTTCTCTCTTACTCCTTACTCCAAGCTTACTCCACGTATTGTAGACGACGCTTTATAGAAACAGTCACGATAAAATTTACACCCACCTTCAGGCTCTGATTAGCCGCGTTTTCTGATAATTCTAGACTTTATATTGAAGAACATTTTCGTCTTATCCATCGATTTTGGGGAACATGAGAGAGATTATCTATTATAGATCGAGATTATTCTCGAGGATGTAATAGTATCCGGGGAAAAAAGCCATATGTCAAATTTTATCATATCTGACATTATTTGATACAATTAGATAAAATTGGATATATGGCTTTTATCCCCGGGTAGTGAGATCATTATTTAGAAATACTATAACGTCATTTTCTTAAATTAAATTCTTTGAATTGTTGACCCCGTGATTAACCCAGTGATAAATGATTCATCGATCGATGCGCATTTAGAGTAAAAACCGGCCTTTTTATTCAAATGCCCATATCTCAGCGAAAAATTATCGTATCGAAACGAGTAAAAAAGCATTTTGAAGGGGAGACTCTGTACTATCGCATGCTGTTTATCCCATTAAGTTGTGACACATGCCTCTCGCCACGGATCGTCGCAAATTCGAACCAATATTTTTCAATTTCGCATGCTCTCGTCTTGTCATCCGCCATTTTGAAAAAAATTATGTCGCAAAACTCTGGCGTATCGATTCTTAAAATAGAGTTTTCAAGCTTCAATTTCTTTCTTTGAGAAACCTTTCTGTCATTATTACTCGCGTAGTTATCGTCATTCGAAATTTGGTGATTTTTTGACAAATTTTGGCTATACCGCTTTTTTCTGGACTGAGTGTATATACATTTCATAATTATACATTTTTAAGTACCTATTTGAGTGTCAAAAAAAATAATTTGTTCAAGATTGTTTTAACGTTGCAGCAACATAAAGAATCAATGCACAAACATTAACCTAGGTTCAACTTAGAAGAGATATTTGTATTTCAACATTTAACGTTGCAACGTTTCAGCAACGTTATTTTAACTCCTTGTGCTGCATGGGCCAGGTTCTTTCTTGGACATAAAAAAGTGGATTGTATTTGTCCTTACGAATAACTCCGTAATATCGCCCAATTAGATCACATTCCTCTTTCAGTAACATATAATTCTAATACGAGAATGTGAAATCTCGCGATTATTGAAACCTTTTCGCGACTCGCTGTAAATCGATCTGCTTAAAACGATCGACCTTAGAGATCAGTCATTTTACCTTCATCAATTTTGTAAAATTACAATTGAAGTAGAAAACAATTCGAAATATACATTTGCAATATGAAGAGATTCGAACTCTTCAACTCTACGATTCAAAATCTATCGAGAAGAGACTAATTGCGATTTTCGAGATATCGATACGATCGAAGCGACAAGCCAGTTAGAATAACGTTCTAATGCAATTCAAAATATTACAAATGGCTAAAGAATAACACATTAATTGTAGTAATTTAACTTAATTTGCGTAAGAATCTTCAATATCAAAAGCAACATATTGCGAAATTGAATTACGCGATAGAATATCGCTGTTGTCGCACTTCCGCGACGTCACCGACACAAAATGGCCGCCGCGGAGGATCTGGCGGGCCCCGATGAAATTCAGCGAATGATCAACGGCTGTTTAGCGACGGAAGAGTAAATGCTTCTTGAAACGTCGCAGTGCTTCGGAAGGGAAACGGGTGTTTGTAAGTCATTGATACCATGGAGATCCGTTCCGAGGACGGGCTGGAGCTGCTGTCGAGATTCAGCGAGAAACCGCGCTCGATTAACCTCGACAGCGTTTTATTTACGAGCGGCGTCGATAGCAGAAGTGCCATAGAGATCGTCGGGGCTTCGTCCACCGGGAAGACTCTCTTGTTATGCCAGTTCGTAGCGAGATGCATATTGCCCGCGCAGTACAGGGGGGTCAGGATCGACGGATGCGATGCCCACGCGATACTGATCGACACGCTCGGCCACGTGCAGACGAGGAAGATAGCAGAACTGATGGCCTCCGCGATTCACGGTGCGTATCAGATGGTCGACGCGCAACCACCAGCCGAAACGGTGGACTACATCGTGGACAAGTCTCTGGAGAACTTGACGGTGATCAGCTGCTGCAACAACGATCAGCTGCTTCTGACGCTGCACACACTCGGGGATGAGATCCTCAGCAACGAGAGGATCGCCCTGCTAGCTGTAGACAACATACTGGCGTACTACTGGCAGGCGAGGAGAGAGAGGAGTATGCTCAGTATGGATTCCTACGCCCGAGACTTGCTTCGAACCATTCGGGCGCAAACGTCCCGGTTTCACACGGCGACAGTTTATACGAGATGGGACGGACCGGCGTCCAAGTCGGAGTCGCACGCGAGACGCGCCGATCTGTCGTCGGAGGGGACGGGTGTAAATTACAGGCTGCAGCTTAGCAAAAGTATCGCAGCTCGCGAGTTTATGTGCCGCATACAGTCCGTTGATAATGCGAGACGGATTTGTTACACAATATCTGACTCGGGCGTAAAATGGATTCTGTAACGATGCGCAATTGGAAGCGAAACGTTTCAGTAATCAATCGACGAGAGCAGAACCTTGTTCACTATGTCTATTGGATTCAACAGTCTCGAGCCCGCTATTGTTATTTGGCAATTGGAATTGAACAACGACATAATCGCTTTGGTCTCTCTTATCTCTTCTGGCGTTACACCTCCAATGACGTAAACGATAATCCAATTGTTGTCACATGGATGGTGTTTGAGTCTTCCTTTAGAAAATAAGCTGTCGAAGATATGTTAAGTAAGCTGGATTTTTCTTTAGAATTTCTTCGCAAAAATTGAGGAAACACCCTTGAAGCATAGTATCGTGATCTAAATAAAGTAATGTACTTAAACTTACTTGAATCCAGCAGAGATAAAGGAAGGTGATCTCTGATATAAATCGGGAAGTTCAAATCTATCTGGGTGAAGCATATCCGTTAATAATTGTTGCAAAATGCCGACACGTCGAACCATCTCTTGAGAACTCGATTTGGTCATCAAGGAACTGTAAAAAATATTTAAAAAGGTTATACACCTTTCCTATTCGTATTTGAGCGAGTCTGAATATTTAAAAACGCGAAACATGAAATGTAAGAGTATAGTGATAATATTAAAAGCATGATAAGTGTATTCGATTTCGAAATGAGCTTACGAGTGTCTTTCCACGTAAAAATACTAAAACTAACACACATGTACAGACATAAAAACATTCTGTGATAATTATGTATGTGTATATATAGTTACATACGTATAATTATGTAGAGACGCGCGTTGCTGTGCTATTTCATGTAAGATGTTCATAATGTGTTTCGCTAATTTTGCAGAGGTTTCCTTTACAGTCTCAGAATCTGTAACACCTAATTTAGATATACATCAGCATTATGTTGTACACACATCATACGCTCGTTATTAATCTTATTTAAGTACTCAATAAGATCAAATATTATGAATCTCGATAAACTATATTTTTTACGAAACTTAAAACTATGAAAAAAACCTTAAGAATAGGATAAAATAATGTAATATAAGTAATATTTTTGATAAAATGTAAAATTATGTGTAACAATATTTTTCGAATATATATTAGATATTTAAAAAAATATTTTTATATGATTTTAAATTTGATACAACTAATTTTACATGTCTACTAAACAAACATCGATCTATTTATAGAATAAATAGATATAGCTATTTCCCGATTTTATCGAACGGGATTTCTTTTAATTATTTTTCCTTGATTTGTAATATCAAAATTTCTTTCACTAATAATGAATAATAATCTCCATTGCTTGACTTCTTATTTCTACATCTTGTAGCATATTTTCTACTAACCGAGAAGCGACAAAGATTGTTGGTACATCGATGTCGTCACTGTATTCCCCTTAAATTTTGCAATGTCCTCAAATATAGCATCAGCGATGGCTTCTTCCAGCTGCTGCTCTTGTTGAAAAGCGAACTGTATCTCAGTTCCAGCTAGTGCATAAATGTGCATCAAAAACGCCAATATACTGTCTGTATGTAGTCCGTGTTTCTCGCGAGTTTTTATTATACTACTTAACTGAAAATATTCGAGAGAAAAAGTGTGACTGCATAAACAAAATTTGTGATATTGAGAGCACAAGAAACTAAATATGTGACAGTTACTTGTCCAAGCACGCTCGTGGAGTCGCGACTCACAGCTATGTTTTGTAAAACTAGTTTCTCGAAACTAATCAATAGTTCTAATCGAGAAGTTTCTTCCGACGTTAAGGCTTGTATAATTCCCAGTACTACCTGCAACAAGACTTACATGATTTTTTTTCAAGTTGTACACGCTATGAGAAAATTATATAGAATATTATTTTGACCATCAAAGACAAGCACGCATTAAGTTTCATTCGCATCATTTTCAAGGCACGTACTTGAAGCCTTTTGCTCGATTCCGATATAGCGTGAAGATCTACATCTTTGAACTTATTCACAAGTTTCTTTAAACTATGCGCGGAAATCCTTGTTGCTAGTTTTGGCTTCAGTTTTTCTCTTAATTTAAAATTTTCTTTTGTTGAAAGTATATCGGTGAGCATCGTATTCATAGTAGCCAATACTTCCTTTTGTGTCTTCGTGATTAATATATTCATTAGCGTTTTGTCGCTGCTTGCCAAGCATCCTGGTATGTCGACGAACTTCTTAAAACAAAAACAACTTTCTATGCAATTTCCACGTAACAATAACACTCCCATAATACTGTTTATAATCCCAGATAGCCAGTGCGAGCACGAATTGCTTTCATATGGCTAACAAAAATGTTGGCGTCTTGCTACGCATCTGTGTCCTCTATTGCGCTGTTCTTTTCTAGCATTTGATGTCGAAAATGATACATTTGCATGATCCAAACATTATGCTAGCATTAAGTGCCAGATGTAACAGATGTAGAGGAGCTCAGTATCAGAGTCTCCCAGCCCTGATGATGCAAACTGCAATGTTTGCGAAACTGACAAACTTACGCGGCAACCATCCGGAAGCCATTACGACTGAAGAAGACAGCAGCCGCGAAAGCTTGAAAGCCAGTAATAGATATAATAGATATAACATGTTTATATCTGTGAGAAAATTGAAAACAATGTATGCTAACTCTTTGTTAACAGTACACCCACTCGATGTGCTCTCTCTTTAGCTGTGCACTTAATTACAACAATATGTTAACATTATGCTAGCTGTACTTCAATCGCTCAAACATTGAATTCGTATTCCTAGCGAAAGCTGGCATCAGGGGCTGGCATTTTATTTCCTGCTCGACCAAATTTACATTGCTCGAGCATACTCTGGCTGTCTGGGATATTCACATGAAATGTACGTCATGTTACAGTAAGAGCTACTGTACCTGTAAACCGCAAAACAGAGGATACATATTTATTGCTACGTCGTTGCAGTGATGAGGCAAGTGAGGTAAAGTGCACAATATTCTAGCTAGCAAGGATTCAGTATTATTACTAGTGGAAGTACAAAGGTCTAACGTTCTGTCGACAAAGATTACAGACACTCCCTTTCCGCCAACTAAATTCTAACATACAAGATAAAGTGTTAGAGTAAAATCTTTTTAATATACTTTTTAGTACTATTAATCAATCGCTCGAGTTATTCTTCTCATACATGAAACGCTTACGTTTCTACGATCGACAGCCGTTGGTAACGTTTCCAATTTTTCGGCAACATACTCGCTAAACTTCCCCATTGAGTAAATGTCTTCTCTCAGATTCAAGTATGTCAATAAACTGTTAAACAGATTTACAAAGTGTTCAACTGCGCACTCGGAATCTTTTATCGACTCACTATTTAATGGCGATGATAGATCACTGAAGGGTGGTGTTACAAACAGACCGTTGTCAATTAGACTAATGAAAACTGGTCGAAATAATATCGTCACTGAGCAGTCCTAAATTAATATATAAAATTTTAATGATGCGTAACGAACTCAGAGTCCGGGGACTTGCAAACGAATGAAACTTGCCTGCGACTGCCGACTGGCGTGCATCCAGCTTTTCACGTCTCTCTTTAATTTGGCGTAATCCACTCTGTCCTCCAGCGGCACAGCATCATCGTAATTCAACACGCTTGAGTGCGCAGCAGTAATAATCGCACAGTGCTCAAATGCATTTTTCTCCATTATCATCTTAATTGTACGTTGATAAAAAGCTGGATCGGTAGAGGTAGAAATGACAACTACCTTCTTGCAGTTCTGCACCTTGACGTACTGTAACAAATTTGTATGGCGAATTAACAATTTTGCAACTGCGAGAGATGGCAAGGATCATGCTCTCGTGAGTGAATCACATACGCGAAAGTTGTACATGGACAGTTCGTGTACAGACACCGCACCAGCAGCTTTGAAGAAGGAGTATACATTGCCGCTGGTATACCAATGAAGACATTCCGTTGCTGCGTGGTCTATATAGACCGCGGATTCGTTTACGAAACCAGCGATATCGTGCCAGGTGTCAGCAAGGAATTGCTCCAGACCACCTTCCATTATCAATTAAGCACGCAGCGTAAACGTTGCGGAAATAAATTTTCAATTTTACTCCGTAAATGAACGACAAATTGTAAATTATTGCATATTTAACATACAAGTAAAATATATAGGTAACGATGTAACATATTGTTCAATGGGACAATATGAATTCTAGTATAACAATTATTATTTATAACCATCCACGTTGAGTGACACGTTGTCATAAAACAGAATTTAGCTTTTTTATATCACAGAGTTTCGAACTATTACATTGATGTCTTAGTTGTGTCATCATGACAAGCTCCAACTTGCCACATGGCTCAGAAACATCTGTTCTACTCATGGACGTAGGAAATATCTGGACGGAGCGTAAAATACCCTAAGTCCCAGTCTACAATAGAGATTTAAGCCCTAAGCCTTAAGAAATTGACTAATCACAGTCGCGCATTCTACTCATACTTGACCGTGAGTCCCAGTCTACAATAGATGATTTAAGCCCTAAGCTTTAAGAAATTGGCCAATCACGGTCAGGTATGAGTAGAATGCGCGACTGTGATTAGTCAATTTCTTAAGG